AGGAGTGGCTCACTAGACAGCGGTCGAGAATATCCCAAAGTACCTGAAAAGGACCAAGGATATGTTTCTCGTTTATGCAGGTGACAAAGAGCTTGTCGTAAAGGGTTACATCGATGGTAGCTTCGACACAGATCCGGGTGACTCTAAGTCACAAACCGGATACATATTTATATTGAATGGTGGAGCTGTCATATGGTGCAGCTCTAAACAGAGCTCCATGGCAGGATCTACATGTGAAGCGGAGTACATAGTTGCTTCAAAAGTAGCACATGAAGGAGTCTCGATGAAGGAGATCATATCCGATCTGGGTGTAATACCCAGTGCATTAGGTCCAATGACAATCTTTTGTGGCAACATTGGAGCAATTACATAGCTAATTAGACCAAGTTTCACAAGAGAACCAAACACATCAAGCGACAATTCAACTCCATTCGGGATTATGTGAAGGATGGAGAGATAGAATTTTCCAAAATACATACGGATTGAATGTGGTAGACCCATTGACTAAACCTCTTCCACGAACAAAACATGATCAACACAAAGACTCCATGAGTGTTAGATTCATTACTTTGAAGTCTAGATTATTGACTCTAGTGCAAGTGGGAGACTGTTGGAAATATGCCCTAGAGGCAATAATAAAGTGGTTATTATATATTTCCTTAATCATGATGAAGGTTTATTATTCATGCTATAATTGTATTGATAGGAAACTTAAATACATGTGTGAATACATAAATAAATACCAAGTCCCTTGTAAGCCTCTACTTAAACATGGAAATAGTTTGACATCCAAACTAAAACCAGTCCAGTCCATGGGAATAAACGCCACACATCCAAACCAAACCAATCCAGATATTTTCAGCTAGAATCCAGACCAAACCGAACTATACATGCTCTCCATCCAACCCAGTCCAAACCATTTTCAATTTTTGGATTGAACCTGCAGATTCAAACCGTGGACAAAGCCATATGAGATGACGTGAATTAGATCAGACATAGCGTCAAAGCTCGCGACAGCCGACAGGCTCCGGCCGGCCGCACGCATTTGAAGCACTAGTAGCTAGGATCCTCCCGAGAGCAAACATGTATGAGTGCAAAGCTAGCCCAAAGAAGCTAGCACACAGGCAGGTTAATTGATTATGTAGCCACATGTGCACGTCTTGCCGCGTAGAATACGTACGTACGTGTGGGTAGCAGCAGCAAAGTATGATGGCGTCTTGGAAGTTTGTCTGGAGGGCGAAGCAGCGGCTCAGACTAATCGATTGATTTGGTCTCGAACTATAGTTTGCACTTGTTTTGAACTAAGAAATATGAACCCAACCCAAGCCTATCCAGTCCATTCTTAGGCACAAACCAAACCAAACCGAACTGGTTTCCATTTCAAACCAGTAGACACCAAACTTATAGAAACCAAATCAAAAACCAATCCAAAAACTAAGTTTCAGTCCACACTATTGCCAGCCTTACCTCTACTAGACTAGCTCGTTGATCAAAAGATGGTTAAGATTTCCTGTTCATATGCATGAGTTGTCGTTTGATAACGGGATCACATCATTAGGAGAATGATGTGATGGACAAGACCCATTCGTTAGCATAGCACATGATCGTTTAGTTTATTGCTACTACTTTGTTAATGTCAAATACATGTTCCTTCGACCATGAGATCATGCAACTCCCGGACTTCGGAGGAATACCTTGTGTATATCAAACATTACTTTGTAACTAGGTGATCATAAAGGTGCTCTACAGGTATCTCTGAAGGTATCTGTTGAGTTGGCGTGAATCGAGATTGGGATTTGTCACTCCGTATGACGGAAAGGTATCTCTGGGCTCTCTTGGTAATACAACATCACAAGAAGCTTGCAAGAAAAGTGACTAAGAAGTTAGTTACAAGATGATGTATTATGGAACGAGTAAAGGGACTTACCGGTAACGAGATTGAACTAGGTATGGAGATACCGACGATCAAATCTCGGGCAAGTAACATACCGACATACAAAGGGAACTATGTATGTTGTCATAAAGGTTCGACCCATAAAGATCTTCGTAGAATATGTAGGAACCAATATGGGCATCTAGGTCCTGCTATTGGTTATTGACCGAAGAAGCATCTCGGTCATGTCTACATCATTCTCGAACCTGTAGGGTCCGCACGCTTAAGGTTCGTTAACGATATAGTATTATATGAGTTATGTATGGTGGTGACGGAATGTTGTTCGGAGTCCCAGATGAGATCACGGACACGATGAGGAGCTTTGGAATGGTTCGAAGGTAAAGATTGATATATAGGATGATAGTGTTTTGTCTCCGGAAGGGTTCCGGAATTCACCGGAAGGGTTTCAGATGTTTCGAGAAATTTTCTTGTGCGAGGACACTTTGGTTGGGCCAAGGGGTAAGTCCCACAGGGCTTTAGGTCGGTGCAAAAGGAAGTTTTGTGGAGGTCAGGGACCAGACACCAGGGACCCTGGCGTCTGGCCTGGGCCAGACGCCGAGGACCATGGCGTCTAGGCCAAACACCGAGGACCGTGGCGTCTGGTGCTGGAATCCGAGAAGGACTCTTCCTTGCGTTCCAAACCGACTTCGAGGATGCTCATTCTCCAAGAAACAACACTAGGGCTCAACATATAAATAGAGGAGCAGGGCTAGCCCCTAGAACACACCACGATTCACCAAGTAGTGTGCCGGCGCCCCCTCTCCCTCTAGTTCATCCTCTGCTCTAAATCTGTTGTGCTGCCACCTCCATCACCACGTCGTCATGCGGCCAGAACTCATCTACTACTTTGCCCCTCTTGCTGGACCAAGAAGGCGAGGACGTCATCGAGCTGAACGTGTGCTGAATGCGGAGATGCCGTACGTTCGGTGCTTGATCGGCACAGATCGTGAAGGTGTATGACTACATCAACCGCGTTGATAAACGCTTCCGCTTAGCGATATACAAGGGTATGTAGATGCTCTCCCCCTCTCGTATCTATGCATCTCCATGGATAAATCTTGCATGTGTGTAGAATTTTTTTTGTTTTTCATGCAACGTCCGCCATCAATATGTGTTGCAAGTAAGATTTCTATGATTTACCTACTATTTGGAGGAAAAACATGCTCAACTTTATTGATTAATATTCATAAGGATACAATTGAGATAGGGGGTTGTAGGAGCCAAAGATGTCTACGCCCATCCAAACTAAGAGTGAATTTTGCGAGGCTATCTTGCTCAATATGTGTGTTCCCACCCTCGAAGATGAACGAGTAGGACACGAATCTAGCGGCAGCTTCATTGATTTCCTTGATCATTGTTCCATGCACACCACCAGATTTATTCAAGATGTCATTCACTATTTCCTTGCAATCAGACGCAATTTCCACCCTTGTAAGATTTAGATCCGTAGCTAGGACGTTAGCTTATCGACATGCGATCGCTGCCAAAACACGTCATTAATTAGCTCATGATCTCATAATCTGGTGACTGGATCAATGAGTTCCGAGACCTTGGACAACAAAGTTTCTCCCATCGGTGTGATTACACAACCATTAGCGCTTTCAGCTATCCATGGGTCCAACCGGATATTCACTTGGGATCCATCTCCTATGCACGATATAGCTCCTCTTTTGAATGCTTTGATCCCTGCACATGTACTCTGCCATGTAAAAGAACTCCCGCTTTTCATCTTAGCCTCCAAAAGTCTCCCATCTGGGTAGTATTTAGCCTTTAATATTTGTGCACAAAGAGAGACAGGGTTCTCCAGCAACCTCCAAACCTGCTTGGCAAGCCGAGCTAGATTAAAACTATGAAGATCTTTGAACCCAAAACCTCCTTTCTTCTCAGGGATGCACAATTTCCACCAAGCTACCCAGCGTATACGCTTACGAGCGTCGGTGTCCCCCACCAATATATTCATATCACATCCATCATCCCTTTACAAAAATTTTGGGATTTTGAATACCGACATCATGAACATCGGAATGGCCCGAGCAACAGATTTTATTAGTGTTTCTTTTCCCCATGTTGACAACAACTTCTCCTCCCACCCATTCACCAGCTGGTTGATGCGATCAATCGGGTATTCAAAAGAGTCACTTCTATCTACATCCACCATAGCTGGTAATCTAAGGTACTTATCATTAAGTGCTTCTATCTTAATCCCGAAATTCTGGTACACCAATACCTTGTCCTCCACTAGTGTGTTCGAGCTGAAGTATACACTTGACTTCGTGTCACTAACAAGCTGCCCCGGACTCAAACAGTAATCATCCAGAACCCTTCAAAAACATGCCGCATTAGACCCGTCTGCCCTCATCAAGATCAGTGAGTCATCGGCAGAAAGTAAATGCGAAATATGCGGCGCATCCCTACAAACTTTGACCACAACCAAGTTGCCACTATTCTCTTCCTACTGAGCTTGACAATGCCTCCGCACACATCAAAAACAGGTACGGAAATAACGAGTCGCCCTGCCTTAAGCCCCTCGCAGGCTCTCCATACACTCCAAATTGAACCTCACATTATATGACACAAAGGACGCGTATGCCATGATCATGCAAATCCATTTCTCCGCGAACCAATCGGCAATTGGAGCAGCCCACTCTTTGGCTAGGGAGGGTTTATACTGTGATGGTAGTTTATTTTGGGACTATGCTCCCCCAGACTACAATTTTGCATGTTTATATCCTCAGAAATCTCTGAGAGCTATCATTAAATAAAGAACTAAGTTTTCCTTAAAAAAAACCTGGCCATTTCCGAAGAAGAAAAATGGAATTGAAATATATGCATGCACGTGCCTGCAAAATTCCCCCGAAAAGGGGAAGCTCAGTTGGAGCCTTGGAGAGAAATTTGCGGGATCGTATCGCGCTTATTGATAATCTCATACCTAGCATCTGCTGGTAGGTTATCTGGAGAGCCCTAGGTACGGACCTTATATATGGGATCTTTATCACGGCCATCGTAACAATATCTCGCCCATCTCCCAGCTAGCTAGCTAGCCAACCAGGTTGAACCCAGCCAAATCATGTCCGCCGCCAGCGTTGTCCGTTTGTCGCGGTCGGCCACCAGATTCGTGGCCAAGGCCGCGAGCGGCTTCCACCTGCTCCGCATCGACGGCTACTCGCAGGCCAAGACGATCCTTCCCGGCCAGAAGATCTCCTCCATGGCCTTCGCCGTCGGCGGGCATTCCTGGCGCATGGACTACTACCCCAACGGCCGCGACACCTCCGCCAAGTCCAACGCCGTCTCCGTCTACCTCCAGCGCATCGACCGCGGCCAGGAGGATCCCCTCCAGGCGCAGTACAAGTTCAGCCTGGTGGACCACGCCGGCAACGCGGCGTACGAGCTCCCGGCCCAGACCGGCACCTTCATCTCCGTCCCAGAAGTCAACGTCTACCAGCGCCATGCCGCGACGGGGACCTTCGGCGGCCCCGCCGAAGGCGAACCAGGGCCAGGATGCGGCCTCGAGGAGTTCATCGTCAAGGAAGAGCTGGAGAAACGGGAGCATCTGATCCGCAACGACTGCCTCATGGTCCGGTGTGACGTGGGCGTCACAGAGGTGGGAACCTCATGGCTGGCGACGGACGAGATAACGAACGATTACGAAGAAGAAGATAGTGATGATGATGATGGGTACGGCGCGGGGACCCCTCGCCGCCGTCGTCGCCGCCGTCGTCGGGACGACGGCGAATACGTCAAGTGGTGTTTGGCCCAACGACCTAGGTGAGCAACGGATCCGTCGGCAGGGACGAACCATCGGCGACCAATATGCACGGTGACCCAAGTAGTAGCTTTGCTAAGTTCAAAAAAAAATTGTAGTAGCTTTGCTTCCGCATGAACTGCAGACTAAAATTTTAGGCCATGAATCCTTCTTTAGTTCTTATTTTCATTTCACTCCCGTGGTACATCGTAACAATCCTATGTGCTGTGTGGTTGTTATTAGGGCCATTTTCCTTCGCGACTGCCCAATGTTTAAGGTTTACTCCTACAATATTGCTAATATAAGATGCTTTTGTAGTTTATATTGAACTGCTAAAACGCCATATATTTTGGTATGAGATAGTCCCTCCGTCCGGAAATACTCGTCGGAGGAATGGGTGTATCTAGATGTATTTTAGTTCTAGATACATTCACTTTTATGCATTTCTCCGACAAGTATTTTCGGACGGAGGGAGTAGTACATTGTTAGTCTTATTTGATTTACCTGAACTGACGCCATCTATTTGGAAATGGAAATAAGAAACATGCCAGACCCTACATGCTCTTGCGGTTTAGGAGAAAAAATATTGATGTTCGTCATACGGGTCTCATCACAATGAGAATATCATAGGTATTATTATGCGTGTCAACTATGTATTTTTGTTTAAATGACACACAATTAAACGAGAAAAGAGATAATTAAAATGATATGATACCATCATGCATGAGAATAAATAAGGTCACTATGATGCCAAGCAATGATACAATGCATTGTGGAGGCAGTATTATACACTAATATCATATACACCATAATATTATGTGATACTTTCATTGTGATCAACCTGATTATTACACCAAGCTAGTTAATTACACTAAATCATGTTAAGCAACACGCTGGGTGCTCAATCGATCAGATTTGTTCGTGCAAACAAACCACTCCCAGCGAGCGCTCAAAATTGCCATGCGAAAATGATGAATCCGCCATGCTGTTGAATAGGAATTGCCATGTGCTAGAGAGAAAATTGCCTTGTTATCTACACTACTATTAAACAAGAGAACATGGCGGACGAAAATTCTGCCATCCACATACCATACAGCGAGCGAACGAAAAGTTTGCACCCACTTAATCCTAACCCAAAATTATCGCTAACCTTCCACCTCATCCTCTTCCCATGCTCCCGGAATCTGAGAAGGAGCCGCTCCATCCTCTTCTCCTGGAACGCCTCATCGCCCGTTTACTCCAACCCTGCCGCCCACAACGCCTCGCCTCTCCGCCCGCATAAGCACAAAGTGGACGAACGTTTCGGCCACCGGCGACGGAGGCCGCGCGGGAGCCCGCGCAGCGGCGCCCGCACCCCCTCGCCTCTCCGGCCACATCGGTCTCCTCCCTAAGCTTAAATCGGGTGCACGGGGGGCGGCCGCCGGCGAATGAGTCCACGCGCGAGCCTTATCTGAAGGTATTTTGCCCGGTTGTTGTTCTGCAAGAGACAGGTGAATGCTTCGGCATGGACTCCAGAAACAAAGTTCTGCACTCAGATGGCGCAGATTTTGTTTTATGTTACACCTCCGTTCAGTTTCGACTGTACTTGCCCGAGAAACGGTGGAGGAATAGCGCCCTAGCATTTACTTCTGTAAACCATAGAAATTAATTATCAAAACTGCTGTTTTGAGCCTAGCTAATCAAATCAATTCTGAAAACCTACTCTGATGCTTACAGTTGGCATTTGCATATCACTTTTTCGTACTTGCTGTACCGCTACTTTTCTTGAAATTGGTATGTATACATGCCACAAGCCTGAGTTTCACTTTTTAATACTTGAGAAGTGCTATTTGTCTTGAAAAATATGTACGAATACATGCCAATGCCACTAGTATGTAAAAAGGCACCAAAAAATTGCCATGTTGTGCGCAAGAATAGTTGCCATGCGTTTTGAAGGATTTGCCACGGTGCAAACATGGAGAATTGCCAGCCTAACAAATTTGCTAGGATTTGGCATGAATGCTGAAATTGTCATGCTGCATCAATCGTAAAAAAGAGCAAAAACTGCCATGCTCTCACAACATAATTTGCCATCATGCAATATATTCACTCAGATTGTCATCTCCAGCGATCTGTATACCCCTGTCGTCTTGTACTTCGCTCGGAGGGGCGCTTTTGTGCAAATTCTCCGGGATCCATGCTAGCAATCCAACGGCGCAAAGGTCGTTCGTTGGGAAGTTCAAAAACAATGATGTCGACACAATAGTGTTCTGTTAAATGTAGCAGCATGTTCACATAACTGGTGTTTCCTATTTGATGCGTGAGATTGGTCAACCCATTTACACCATTTCCTCTTGGTACGCACAGGGAAATTGAGCTTGGTTCTTTCGATTTTCAGTTTGGTTTTTTGGTTCATGGGTTTAGTCGTGTTCTTTCGGTTTTGTGTTCTTCGATCTTTTTTCAGTTCCATTTTTGTTGTCTCCACTTTTTTCCTTCCTATTAATAATCATGGGATATTTTAAAATATCAAACATTCATAATATACTAACACTTTTAAAGTTTCATGGATATTTGTAAAATTGCATGAATTTTTTTAAATTGTTTGAGCATATTTAAAATGTAGTTGAAAATTTTAAAATTCATATTAAAACCAGAGAAATTTTATAAATATTTGATTGTTTTAAAATTGTTGTGAATTTTTTAATTTTTAATTTGTTTTTCAAGTTTCAGAATTATTTTTAATCTAGCAAAATATTTTCAAATTTGTAGAAAGTCTAACAATTGGTTTTTTAGAGGAAAACCCAATGGAGAAACTGTACAAAAGAATGAAGCACAGATCATTAGAGAACAACCATGTCTGATACACACAAAGTTGTCTGGCCAATACGAGTGCCCTTGGTGCGTCAACCCTCCTAGGGAGCTGTTTTAGGTAGCTTATACGTATGGTTCAGATCGTTTTTAGGAGCTTCTGCATGTTTTGTTTTCTATGTTGGCTTTTACTCCCTTCATTACTTTACATGAGGTGTATTTTTTTAAATAAAATTCCACAATGTAAGGTGTATTTTTTCTAATTTCTTATAATTCCGTTCTTAGCCCTCCGAGAAAATGACAGTGTCTCTCCTCCGATTGCATATATCTTCCCTTGTGGAGAAAATAAAAGGATATGAAACAGTTTTTCAAATACATGTTGAACTTCTTTTGAATGATATAAAACAGTTTTAAACTACGCGCACATTCTTTTTACAGTCTATAAACATTTTTTTTAGAAATGTCACCAACAAATTTAGAAATCCATGAACTATTTTCTAAATATCACATACATTTTTTAAATGGTATGAAATATTTTGTTTGAATTACGCAAACTTTCTGCTACATTTTTAAAAACAGTCACGACCCAATCTTTTATGAAATATAGCCAAGGATGATGGTGTCATTCTCTAGCCGCACAAGAAACGTTCCATTGGGTAGGTCTTTCTTAACACTGCATGAACATTTTTCTTACATGTCACAAACATATTTTTGAAATGTGTGAACATTTTTTAAATGACACAAAATATTTTTTAAATGCACTACACATTTTTTGGGAATGTTGTCAGCTTTTTATAAATATTGCGTGGTAATTTTCTAACAATGCATGAACATGTTTTAAATAAGCGACGAACTCTTTTGAAAATTTATTTAATTATTTTTTTCGAATATATATTTAAAAGATTTGAAAATACAAAAGAAGTAAAAATATTTTTAAATGCACTACACATTTTTTGGGAATGCTGTCAGCTTTTTATAAATATTGCATGGTAATTTTCTAACAATGCATGAACATGTTTTAAATAAGCGACGAACTCTTTTGAAAATTTAATTTAATTATTTTTTTTTCGAATATATATTTAAAAGATTTGAAAATACAAAAGAAGTAAAAATAATAACTAACTAATGGTACTGTTCCCTCCCATTTCACACTCTCACTAAGGTGAGGAGACACTCGGTTTGCACGGCGACTATTTATCGCGTTAAGCGATACAAGCAGCTTCTGTCGCTGAAGTTTTTTCCTCCCTCACCTCATATTGTGTCGGACCATTCACTCGCCCGCAGTGTGAAAGAGCAAAGAAATGCGCTGGATGCTTGGATCGAACCAGTGTCCTAGGGGGAAGCGCCGCACTAACCACTCCACCCAAGTTCCCTTTGTGGTAAGAACTAGGGGTGCGGTCTATGCTACTGCAGCCATTTTCTTCTGGGTTTTGTTCTGTTTTGTCCTTTTGTTTTCTTCGTTCTCCCTTCGTTTTTTGTTTTGTTTCCTTTTTTTCTTCTCCATTTGTTGTTAGTTTTTATTTTTCTTCTCCATTTTTTATTTTTTTTAACATATGGAAAACAAACACGAATTTGGAAAAAAGTTTCTAGAATTTGGAAAAAGTTCGTTGAAATAATAAAAATCATCAATTTTTTAAAAAAAAGTTCACTGATTTTGAAAAAAGTCCATCAAATTTGAAACTTAACTCATCAAATATAAAAATGGTTCATTCATTTGGAAAAGAGTTCACAAATTTGAAAAAAATCATCAAATTTGAAATTATTTTCATCATTTTTGGAAAAATAGTTCATTAACTTTGAAAAAAACTTCATCGAATTTGAGAAAAGTTGATTGAATATGAAAAAAGTTCATCAAATTTGGAAAAAAAGTTCATCATTTTTATAAAAGTTCATCTTTTTTAAAAAACTTCATCATTTTTTCAAAAAAAATCATCATTTTTTGAATTCGTTTAATCGATTTACGAAAAATCATCGATTTTGAAAAAAATTCATTCAAATGAGTAAAAGAAAAAAAGAACAAAAAACCGAACAATACCATTCTGAATAAAAAAATGAAAAAAAAAGAAAAAGACCTAAGAAGAGACGAATGAAGAAGATGTATTTGAGCACATGAGGTGAGGCCGATGGGGTGGTAAGTGCAGGGTGCAAACGAGCAGGATGTCGCTGGTTCGAATACCACCGAACTTACCTACAATTTTTTGTTTTTTATGGACAGAAAAAAGGGAAAATGGCCCGAGCCC